AGTTGTAGCTGTTCCCTATATTAATTGACTTGAAAGAGTATAATGCTAACAATACTGTCTCATTTTGAAAGAAATAATTAAAATGTATCCATGTGCAATACCAACATCATATCACCTCTTATTAGAAAAATAATGTGAGCAAAATAAGATCTCAATCCCTAATTTAGATTGATTAATTTTACACTTATGTATTAAAAAATATATAAAATTATGTTTGGCTGTAAAAATGATATTTTAGTTCAAATTTTGATATAGATGCCAACAGCTCTTCTTTAAACTTATCTCATGATAGATATACTTAATCTCGTGGACTTTTAATAACTATTGAAGTTACTTTCTTGTTATAAAACTCATTTATTAAATCAAAAACTGCCTAACAAGTCCTATCCCCTCTTCAAAAGCTAAGATGTCAGTATAAGGAGATGATTCTAATGGTTTTCTTATATAATTAGCTTTATTATTTATTTTACTTTTTAATATCAAATGGCATATTTACTTTTTTTTTACTTAAATGTATTCCTGCCATCATAATTGATTCTAGCAACTTATTCCATAGATATGTAACTATAATTAATATATAATAGTTTAGATGAAGTAATCCGAATGGAGATGATTTATTTGAAGACAGCATGCAAATCTATACATATTGTATTCTTACGAAAAAAGAAAATTTTATTATAATAAATCTTTATTTAATTGAAGTTAATAAGTATTTCAGATTATTTTATACAAAAGAAAGCATCTACATAGAAGTTGTGAAGAATCTACATACAATTACGAAAATACATAAAAATTTAAAAACATTATTAATAAAATTCCGAAAATAGGTTGAGTCAATAATTAACAAAAAAAAATAATTCAATCATATAAATTAGCAGTTAAGAAAGCTAACAGTACAAAAGTAAATATCATTCAACTGACAACACACCAAGCAAACATTTAAAAGCAACATTTACGTCATGCCATATACATGAAATTAAATAACCAACAAAAGACTAACTCAAAATATAGTTCATATGAAAGCAAACTTTGTAAAATCAAGATTGAAAGGAAAAATTAAACATATTTTCTTTTAAACCATCTATTAAGTGTGCTAATACTAAGATTGCTTTAATGAATAAATTTTCTAATTAACATAGATCCATTTCTGTAGATATAAATGATTATAAAATAATCAAAATAATTATACATAATTAATATTAGAAATAACTAAACAATTGCTTGATATGACAAGTCCAAATATTTTTTAGTAGTGGATCAACAATGATTTACAAAAAAAAGAAAGAAAAATTTGACGTTTCAGCAAAGCTATACAGGCCATTTTCAGGAATTTTGACTGTTATAATGAAGAATCATAACATATGCTTATTTAGTTGTTTTTTTTCTATTGAAAACCAACAAAAAGCTATTATTTGCGAAAATTGCTATCAATCAAATCTTTTAAAATGAGAGTACTATAATATTTATCGAATATTTAATAGTTGACCGTTGCATTATAAAGGAAGGAGATGGTCTGGGGTTGCGGTCATAAAAAGGCTAAATAGTGGTAAAACAATTTTATTGAAAGCCAACGTTTCGACCCGACTTTGCAGGTCTTCATCAGGGAGGTGTTCCTCTAGGAGTTTCACTTAGTTCTAAGTGAAACTCCTAGAGGAACACACCTCCCTGATGAAGACCTGCAAAGTCGGGTCGAAACGTTGGCTTTCAATAAAATTGTTTTACCACTATTTAGCCTTTTTATGACCGCAACCCCGGACCATCTCCTTCCTTTATAATATTTATCATAAAATACTGCTACCAATTGATGTAGAAAATCAATTCTGTCAATTTTTAACAAATTTTGTCTAATAAGTAGAGAATAAAAATAATAGTGTAGATTAAAACATAACAATTTTATAAAAAATATTATATAATGTGCGTGAAGAGGAAATCTGAGGGGCAATTAAAATTATTATTTGTTAAGTGGACATAATAGATATTTGAACATCTTGGCAATTCATGGAATAATGGTTAACTATAAAACAAATGTAAATACTAAGCTACTAACTGATAAATATGTATATCATCAAAATTTTGAACTCAGTACATTAAAAATAGGATCCACAATAAATATCCAATATCACTATTACAGCAGATTTAATCGAACATTACCATTAAAAATTTAGAAGCAACAATTTTAAAATTTATACTAGTGAATGGATGAAAAATCAAAATTTCTATAAACTAAGCATTTCTAACTTATAACCCTGCAATAGTGTTCATAATTTCCAAGAGATAATGATTCTAATAATATTATTTATCTCAAAATTATGTTTTAATTATCAATGAACAAATTTAAACCAACCTATTTTTATTGTTCTGCATTTATATATTTAAAATAATTTTATTGAAAGTAAAATAAATCAAATTACAAACAATTTTAATTGTACTTTTATTGGTAATAGAGAACATTTAAAGAAAAATAATTAATGATAAAAATGCATTGATTGAGATGGATATATTTTTTTTTCTGCTTTTAAAATATTTAAATAAACAAAATAGATTTATATAAGTACAAAATTAACACGTAATCCTGTAATAATTATTTTTGATTGGCCCATCTTAAAATATATCATACACCCATATTAAAGTAATGAATATAGAAAAAAAATTAAGTTTCAAAACAAAAAGGATGAAAAATATATTGCTTAAAAAAAAATAATAATAATAAAGTAAAAACAAAAACTTAACTTAGCTGCCTATTTCTTAATTATACATGACTAGATTTTGGATTAAAGGAAATGTGAGGAAGCAAAAACCTATTAGAAAAAATCCATATATTAATAAAACTGAACATTTTACAACAAATCAAAGAAAAACAAAAATGTTGAAATAATAAAAGAAAATATAATATTAATAATAAAAAAGTAATATTAAATCATTAAAATACTGAACAAAATAAATAAACATAATAAATGATTTCAGAGACCGAATTAGACAAGATTATTTTCATATACTATAAAATTATAAAAGTATATGAAAATAAATTGAACAAGTGTTGTTTAGTAAATTCATCTGTGTTTTATCTGCAGGGATACATATTTAATTGTGAAATAAAGAAGCTAACGAAAGGTAAAGCTATATGAACTACAACATTTAAGTTCATTAAGCTGTCATTTTCATCAGCAATTTTAAGTTGTTGGAGAGACTGAAAATTGGACTATTGCACAGTAATATTCATTTCAATCAAAAATAAATTTTCATTAATAATTTTATATTAGAAAAATAAAGTTTCTCAAAGCTGACTATTATTGATAAACATATATTTGTTTTGTTTTGTTAATAAAAGGAATTATTTCAATTAGCTTTTAAATGGCTTTAAAATTTGGAATTGTACACAATCATTCTACATTGGTACTGAATAGACTAAATGAGCTTTGACTATCAATTCAATATTTTTTCTTAACTGTAGTAAGCAACACTTAAAATATTTATAAATGCATGGCATGCTAAAACAAACTAGTAAAGGATATATATATATATATACTGAATAAACTAAAAAAAAAAAATGAGAAAATAAAATAAAAAATCTATAATAGTACAAATAAAAAATTAAACAATACTACAGCTCAAACAAACAACAAAATGAAAGAACACAAAATAGTGATTGAAACACAGTTTTGAAACTAATTTGTCTTCTTTTTATATTTTCTTTTTTTTTTTTTTTTTTTTTTTGCGAATGCCCTAACTTTTATTATAAATAGATTTAACAACAAAGGAAAAGAACTTAAAATAAAATAATCAAATACAGATAAACATAGTATAAAATTTTCCCTCTTATAATGTTAAAAGGAAATGCACCAGCAGACAACGCAACTAACTGTGACTAGGGTGCGTATTTTTCATCGCTCAACAATGTTGGTGTCGCCAGTAATTTTTTAACAAAAAAAAAGTTATGATATCTTAACAAAGAGTGTAAATCTAAAAAATACAAAAATATTGCCCCATAGCAGGGTTTACCCAATCACAAACAATTAGTTGTGATGCTTCCTTCATTGTTAAAATACAAAAATTCTTACAATATATATTTTATTATAATACTTAGAGATTTTAACGTGCAGTCCATAGGTTTCTATAAAAGTCTTAAGACTGATCACTAATGAAAGATTTTTCAAGTATTTTCTGAAAAAAAAAGTAGATGCACATCAGACAATGAAAATGTTTTTCTTTTAAGTTACTTACAGAGTATAAATGAAAAATTTACAGTAAAATACTTTTTTTTTATACACATAAACGACCACATTGGACAATAAAACTGAGGATATTTCAAAAACAGTATAAAAAATATTTAATGACTAATTATAGTGATATAGTAAAAATATCAGAAAAAAATATGAGTGTTTCTATACATAGTTGTTCATAACAACTAGTTATTAAACTAACTATGCAAAGTATAGGGTACTTCAGTGGTCAATGCACAATTCCTTACATTTTATATCAAGGTAACGAACGATACATGAAATTTAGTATAACAGACTTCAGAATATAATTTTAAGTATTTTTAACAGTTATTTATATAAATATGCCTTTATATCTGTTTGCATGTGCTGAAAAACTTAAACAAAACAAAAAAAAATAAGATTTTTTTTTTTAAACATTATGTAGTTTACCAGTTGAATGCAAACAAATATAATCCATACAATATACTACAACAAGTAAGTTTCTCTCATTCACCACCATAATAAAAAAATAATAAAATAACTAATTCCTAAGATTACAAACTTCCAATGAGACGACATAGGAATAAGAAGTATATATATATATATATATATATATATATATATATATATATATATATATATATTGCTATGCTGCCTTTAAGTCAAAACAAAGTTTTAAAAAAATACATTCAATCAAATTTCCAACACTCTCTCAAGTATAATGATACAAAATACTACAATCAAACATACTTATAAAGATAAAGAGAACAACTCTTAAAACTAGATCTTTCGAAATCTACTCAAAATTGATATTATAATATTAAAACTGTCACAATTTAACAATAAGCATAAGTTAAAACCACATAAATAGATAGGTAAAAAGATAAATTCCATTCCAAAAAAAAAAAAAATAACAATGCACCAACAAAGTGTCTGGAATGGTCAATACAAAAGTGTCAACTGGTTAAAATATTTAAAGCCCTATTGGAGGGATTTGAACATAACGATAAATGTATAAACGATAATCCTTACTGGCAAGGACAACAGAACCATCATCCATTAATGCAACATCAAAGCATTGAGCATGCTTTACTTTGCTTTCCAGTGCAGATACAAGTTGGCCATCTTGAGTAAATATTGTTAGATTAAAATTATTGTGATTGTCAGCAATCAATATTTCACCAGATGAATTAATACCAACACCTATCGGGTAATTAGTGACTCCCTCACTTCCAATTTGTCTCAAGAAAACCCCTTCATAATTGAAGACTTTTACACAATGAGCTCTGTTATCACTGATGAATATTTCCTGCTTATCATTTACAACTACACCATTTGGAAATTCCAAATGCTTGGAACATCCAAATTTTTGAAGAACACTCCCGTTCTGATCAAAAATTATTACTCGCATTACTTTACATTCAACCACAACAATTCTTCCTTTACTGTCAACAGTCACCCCTCTAGGATGCTGTAAAATATTCGCTCCAAATTTTCGAACGAATTGTCCATACTGGTTATAGATTTGAATTTGATGGGTAGGAGATCGTTCAGTTACAATAATATCACCAGAAGTCTTTACAACAGCCACTCTATTAGGATAAAGTAATTGGCCATCTCTTTTGCCGCACTCACCAAACTGGAATTTAAATCTCCCTTCTTTATCAAATATTTGAATCCTATGGTTGTTTGTATCAGCAACAATTATGTCATTTTGGGCATTTACTGCTACTCCACTAGGTTCAGTAAATTGACCTTCAAGAACTCCAAACTCACCAAATTTACAGTGATAAATCATCTTTTGGCGCTTTATTTGTGATTTTGGAGGAAAAATTGATGTTGAAAGAAGCTTTGAACTTATATCTAACATAGAATCCCCATGGTTAGCAAGTGATAATGAATAGTGTTCTGAAGTTCCATTTGGGAACATATCTGAACCATTTGACCATTTTTCATATGAGTTCACACTATTGATGTTAATGTCACTAACAGATGATGTTGAGAATGGGCCTAATGAGTTAGCTGTACTGAATCGTTTTGAAATAATGTTCGATTCAAATTGAGAACCTGGATTTGACAATCCATTGGCAAAAGGTCTTTCAGAAAGTCCATTTAAACCATTGGTAATGGTATTCCCATTTACAATATGTATAGAAGAAGTACTAACTCCATTTGAACTACCATTCAAATGAATTCCATTGATTGGTCTAGCAATAGGCGGTTGTTTACTTGGACCTAAATTCACATCAGAACTCGATCTAACATAGCCAAATGTATTCCTCACGCCAACCTGAATTGCTTGGTAATTTGAAACAAATTCTAGATCATACACAGTTTGGATGTTCGCATCAACATTAAATGTAGTCAAACCTTGCAGTTTGGTGTCAATTAGTTTTTTAAACATTAAACATTCAACAATACTTGCATGCTTTGTAAGTCTTTCATAAAATTCGCAGGCATTATATATTTTATCCACAGTCTCAGTAGCTTTTTGGCTAAATACACTGAGTGACATTTGTTTGGCTGAAAAAACACTCTCCAGTTCTTTCAGGAGTTCTTGTTTTCTTTCTTCTAACATAGATCTGTAAAACTGGAATGTATCATTAATTTCGTTCTGAGCTTTATGATACTGTACTTGTAATCGCCCTGAAGAATGTTCTAATGTCTTTAACATATTTCTGATATCAGTTGCTTTTGATTTGCTTTCCTGTATTGTCTGATTTAATAGTTCAACTTGCTTAGGGCCTACTTCACTTAAGTGTTCACATTCATGAAGACTTGCAGGATGATCAATCATTGTGCATTCTTTGCAAACAGGAACATTACAGGTTCTGCAGAAATACTTAAGAGCTTCCATTTTATGACGAGGACAAGGAACAACTTTTTCAGTAGGTGAAGCCATACCGTTCTTTGAATCTTCTTTTACAGTTTCAGATGATAAGGTAAGGACTCTATGACCTTCAAAACAATGCATAAACTGATGTGCCATCACACAATTAGGACACAAGTAATGATTGCAATCGTAGCAGCGTGCAACAGCGTTTGAAGTTTTGCTCTTACAGCTTGTACAATGAACTTTTGGATCTTCTAGTGCTTCAATGACACTTTTGACAGCAAAATCGGGTAAAAGAGCTGAAACACCTTTGGAAGTGAGAGAACACTCTTGCTGACAACGAGGACAATTAAGTTTATCAGTATGTTCCTGATTTCTTTCTAAACAATATTGGCAAAAAGTGTGCAAACAAGGCAGAACTTTAGGATTAACAAAGGTTTCGTGGCATAATCCACAACGAGTATTCAGTTGACCACCACTTCCAATACTGCTACTACTGGTAACTGATGTTGTTGGTGAAACTGTGACAGGAGAATCACTTGGATATGATGATGTATATTCTTGCTCTATATGAGGGTTTGTTGAATTAATCCCAACCAAAGAATCTACTGAAGGGGCGGGTGATGCCATCATCACAACATTCCTGTAAAACAAAAAACAAAACCTGTAGTATACTTTGTATTAAAACATAAAAAAAAAAGAGTAAAATAATTTAAATATAATTTTTAAAATTTTGTGATTCAATAAAGACCTTTGGCTTTAATCTATTTCTTTATAAATGCTTAATGTTAGGTTTGCCACCAGGCGTACTACATCTTATAAGACATAGGACTTGAGTTTTTGACATTGAAACAATAAACATAAATCGTTTTAAAATTGTATCTTATGTTATTTTTGTTGTAGTGTGTAACACTTATTCATATATTTGAATTTTACGTTTTCTGGATGTCCCATCATCATAAATACCATACAGATGTCAACTCAGTTATATAACATATATAGTTTTTCCCCAAAAAAGATTGTAAAATGAAATAGTGTTTTTGGTTTAAAAAAAAAAAAATGTTTTAAATTATTACATTAAAAAGGAGTTGTTAAATTATAGGATGAAGTTATTGATAAAATTAGGAAAATAAGAGACATTTTGTGGTATTTTAGAAGAAAAATAAAATAAAATATTTTATATTTAATAAAACGAGTACTACCATAGAGTAATATTCTATCTACAAATACTTTTGGCCGAATTACATATGTGAGGATTTTCGCAATGTAAAAATTCGGCCAATTGGCATTCATCAGTTTTGGACTACTAAAAACTTCACCGGCTTAGTCGGCAATGAAAGACAACTAAAGCGTTTGCCTCATTATATTTTTCTCAATACTTTTCGAAAACCCTAAAGCGTTATCTATTCCTTAATGTAAGTGGCCACCTTTTGCTTTCTAAATAATCATAAAAAGTATAATAGTTTTGTCAATTTTTAAATTTCGGGATAAAAGGCACCTTCCCTTTTTTTCCTCTGATGGGTGCGTTTCTTTTCCCTTTTTCTGGATCCGTATTCTTCCACTAATCTTCTTGTATGTTTTCGCAGTACCATTGTTCTATAAGCAAGGTTCTTCTGACTGGTTACTTTTTGGCATTCTTCGTCAAACCGAGGCACTTTCTTAGTTGGTTTTTGATATCCAAGCATACCAACTGCCAGTTCTTCCATGGTTTCTTTGCGTTTTTGCCACTGTTGATCTATGCTATCAGCCTGATATAGATCTTTAATTCCTGTCTGGAATTAGGGATGGAAGTAACAATATTCTGACCGATCCGATAGACATATTAAATAAGTTTTCTGAAATACTTTGACAATATTTTAAATACGGGCAATAATGATTTATGTCCTCCTGAGTACCTGAGTGCTGAACCGTTAAGAGAAGAACCGAGTAAGAGTAAAGAGGAAGTTGAATAGCTTTCGGAAAACTAAAATTTTATAAAGCAGGGAGAACTGATAATATTCCTAGTGAACTAATTAAGGCATCCGGGGAAGCAGGATTTTCTAAAATACATTTATTGGTTAAAAAGATCTGGAAGAATGAGAATTTTCCTGAAGAAGGGAAAGAATCTATTTTTATTTCGATTCATAAAAAGGGCTTGAAGACGGATTGTAATAATTATCGAAGAATCTCACTCCTTACTGTATGTTATAAAATATTTACATTAATCCTAACTAATCGAATCTCAGAATACGCCGAGGAAATTATCAGAGACTATCAATGTGGATTTAGACAGACCCGTTCAAATATAGGAGTACAACGGCATTGTTCATCAGCTGTATTTCGATTTCAAAAAGACTTACCATTCTATTGACCACCAGAAGCTTTAATACTTAAATCGAGCATGGAGAAAAAAAATAGTAGAACTAGTTGGGATATGCTTGACGGAAATGCTCAATAAAGTTAGAATAGGTAATTATTTATCCAAAAAGTTTGAGGTTTGTTGGAGTTTAAAACAAGGTTATTCACTTTCACCTGTCCTCTTTAATTTGGCATTAGAACACGTCATTAGGGAGGTAATGAGTACCGAAAAAGATTAGGCTGAAGGCAGGAAATGCTTGTTATTTTTCTGTGAAAAACTATTTAGCTCGAATTTTATCCAGTTAATATAATTGAGGTTATTACCTCGCTGCGAATAAAATGAGCTTGTAAAATTGTTGGACTTAGTAACATAAGAATTCCTAAAAGGTTAAAATTTGCTTTGCCGAATGGTAAAAGTCCAAGGTATAGGACGGAAGGGAAGTTGGGAAGATTGCGTTATACCCGGTGGGCCAGACCCCCTTACCGTGCACCCTCCCTCCCCACATCCCTATAAATTACATATCGTTGTGTTCCTTGTTACAATTTATTAAAAAAAAGCCAATGTTCCCACAAAAAAAAGTGCACGAACTGCCCCAAAATGGCGTCCAAACATGGCGGATTGACGACTTTGACTTTAGTTAGTTTTTTTGTTACTGAGAATCAGCATTTGGCTTAATTTCATCATAGTTGGTCTTTTATTAAAGCTGGATAGTCAGAGAATAATAAAACATGAAAAAATATTAAAAACTAATTGGCTTAGGCATTAAAAAAATCGGTAAAGTCAATTTTTTTTACAAAAAAATTTTCAAGTTGAAAATCAAGCGTCGTTTGTAATTAAACGGTCAACAATAATGCAAAACGTGCTGAAATAAAACATCTGGAGAATACATTTCTCTTTCTAAAACACTGATTACTTTTTAAAATATTTGAAGTAGTTCCGTATAAAATGTACTTAAGCGGCAGAAAAGCGCTACTGGCGTAGGTGCCTTCAGGCCTCTACCACACCACTCAGTACTCATAAATGGCTTAGTTATAGTGCTATAATAACGTTTTTGTTATATTATATTGATTATATTAACGAACAAATATTAATACAATAATTTAATTGTAAAAATTATTTTTTTAATTTATTATTTTTGTTTTTATTTATCATTATTATTTTTTTTAAATTTAACTTCATTTATTCTATACGGAGGTCGCTTACGAAGGCCTCTATTATAAAAATTATATAATTATAATAATAAAACTTAATTCATAATTACTTTGCAGAATATCTTGAATTTTTTATTTAATATTTGCAATTTAACATTTTGTTTTATATATTTACTGATTCTTAGAGGTAATTTAAATTGTATATACTTCCTCGGAAATGAGTCATATTAATACCTGTTTTATAAACTAAAATAATATATACCTAATCTGAACTACTTTTAATGAATAGGTGATGATTGTTTAGTAAAATTCATATATCACTATTAAAAAAATCATTTTTATTTCCTTTATTTTTTTCGGAAGTTGGACCATATCACAATAAATACGAAATTTTAATATTAAATGCATTATTCTCTCTGCACAAAAGAAATATGGAAAGGGCGAAGCTATAAGTTCTTATAGGTAACTGGAACTGATTGTTAGTATTTGGTCTCAAAATGGGGGAAAACGCGAAATTGAACCCAAACATTGAAAAAATACATTAAGCAAACGTTAAATATATATATTAACGACAAAGGAAGTGCCAAAATTTCGCAAAAGAAAAAAAGGATCAGTATCCATTATATGGCTAAACTAATATATAGTAGACAGATGAACAGAATATTTCAAGATGCTGCTAAAAGAGTGTCAAAATTCTTGATGAGTTTGGATGATATTAAGCAGGTTTATTATGGTGAAAACCACTTTATCAGCAAGAAAGATTTGTTCTAAGCAATTGGCAAGCAGGTCTGGAGGAAGTAAACGAGGTTTATAATGGTGTAAACAACTTTATTTTAGATTGCTATTGAAGTTGTACATTGGGACTATCTTCACTTTGAAGCAGGTTATAGAGAGGTCTATCGATAAAGGAAAATAGCTCTCCTCCTGCTTAGTGCAATTGCAAAAGATTTTTGAAGGAATCCGAAAGGAAAACGAGCTTTTGTGAAAGACTAGTAGATATTCGATCAATCCAAAGTGTGAGGCAGGCACTAAGCAGATAGAGAACCATTTGTCTTTCTCTGTGGACTTCTCTATACCTACGTTAAAGTGAAGACAGTCCCAATTTGCAACTCATGTTCCAATGTGCAACTTGAGTTCCTCAATCCATATCGCTCAGACAATCGACAATATTTCTTATTTTAGCTTCTATGATTCTTGAGTTGACTTTCTTTGGTACTATAGACAGTAAGGAATCTCGAATAACATTTCCTAGTATCTCATTTCCTGTAAAGGGACAAAACTACAGTCCTTCCATCTAATTTTCTAGTACATTTGTAGCCTTTGTACGCACAGCATTTCGGATTACTTCGTCGAGACCAGCTGACTTGCTAATTGCCTAGAACAAATCTTTCTTGCTGATGAAATGGTCTTCACCATAATAAACCTGCTTAATATCATCCAAACTGATCAAGCATTTTGACCCCCTTTTAGCAACATCTTGAAATATTCTGTTCATTTGGCTACTATATATTCGTTTAGCCATATAATGGATACTGATCCTTGTTTTCTTTTCCGAAATTTTGGCACTGTCGTTCGCTTAATGTATTTTTCCAATGTTTGGGTTTTCAATTTTGCGTTTTCCCTCATTTTGAGACCAAATACTAACAATCAGTTCCAGTTACCTAGAAGAACTTATAGCTTCGCCCTTTCCATATTTCTTTTGTGCAGAGAGAATAATGCAATTCAATATTAAAAGTTCCTATTTTTTATGATATGGTCCAACTTCCGAATAAAATAAAGGAAATAAAAATGATTTTTTTAATAGCGATATATGAATTTTACTAAACAATCCATCACCTATTCATTAAAAGTAGTTCAAATTAGGTATATATTATTTTAGTTTATATAACAGATATTAATATGACTCATTTCCGGGGAAATATATACAATTTAAATTACCTCTAAGAATCAGTAAATATATAAAACAAAATGTTAAATTGCAAATATTAAATAAAAAATTCAAGATATTCTGCAAAGTATTTTTGAATTAAGTTTTATTATTATAATTATATAATTTTTATAATAGAGGCCTTCTTAAGCGACCTCCGTATAGAATAAATGAAGTTAAATTTAAAAAAAATAATAATGATAAATTTTTTTTTATTTATTTCTTAA